TCTATCCGCAAGAGACCTCTGTGACTGGGATGCACTTTGTTCGCGGAAGTCGTAACCCACCAGTGGACCTCTCATTGCTCCAGCACCACCGAGCCCGTCCTCAGGTTTCAGGGGCTGGTGCTTCTCCACATGCTCATACATTGTCAGCCTCCTCTCAATCACCTCACGAATCAATGCTGAAAAATTGTATGTACAGGAGTCACTGTAATCTTTCGTAGTTCAGTAGTGATAATGCTGACTCATAGATGAGTATAAAACATTCACCAGTCCTCATCCTCCCCTGTATCATAACCTTTTATATAAAGTCAGCATCCTTAACTTCTGTGCCACTTAAGGAATATGAATTATATTCAACACCTGTTTTTAACAACATATCATTTATGAAGTAATGACAAAAGGTATTAATTCTGATCAAATTACAGAAGATCCAAAAATAATATTGAGGGTAAAAAGCTGCACCTTTGTTAACATAATTGATATACTGAAAAATTAAGAACTAAAACTGTAAATTTTACATCTTTCTTTTATTTATTTCTACTGAAAAGTTTTAGAGATGACTTTTAAATAAAATTAAAGAACTTACTGTCAAGCACTGTTCTTCCCACCATGCTGTATTCCATCGTTTTGTCAACTTCATCCATTAGCCATGGAAGGAATCCTATCTCAATATCTATGATAAAAAAAAGTTAATTTTAATCATTAAGTAATTTTTATGAATCTTTATAGATAGGAAGAATCTATGCTTTCCCCCTAATGTTACAGAGTCATCAACATTATTTTCTTAACACAAAGTGTTAAACAGACTCAGACAGCATTACTTTTGCTATATTCTCTATATTTGTTCTGGTCCATTTCCTTTCTATTGCAGTAGAAATAGTATTTTCAAAATTATGAGGCTTTCCTTGGAGCCAAAGCCTTTAGAGCTGACTTTATAGGCGCAATCTGTGATGGGTCAAGGAGGTGGGGGTGGGGTGGGGTGGGGATATGCAATCTAAATGCAGTGCCAACCCAGGATTGAGTGATGCCTGTAAAAAGAATGCCCCCGCCTGAAGCCTGGGGCCTAACAGCAGCTGATGAAGACTCAGAGAATAGAGGTCAGAGGGCATCTGAGAACAAGGGTATATAGAAATGGGTCAGGAACCAGGTGTTTCCATTAGTAATAAATTTATTCAAACTGAAATACAAAATCTACTATACTGCTATGTAAGCCTTTAAAAAATATGTTCCATTACAATATACACTTTAATGTTCCAAAATAGCTTTTCTCGGGGGCAGGCACCTAATTTTTATTTTTCAATGGGTGACATGGTGTGATAGAGTATTATATTCACTACTATAAATAATTTTAAGCTAGGCATGAATCTCATTTACAACCTTTTAAATGATCTATAGCTGACTTTTTAAGAAATTCATGAGAGAAAGAAAGGTTGCTNTTTGAGTTGCTAGCAAGCATTTCCCTGCCATGTATGTTCAGCTCTTCCTCAACCACCTGCAAGTCACCTATTTTCACTTTTGAAATCTAATACCTTGTCCCCCTACTTTTCTCCGTTGTTCAAAAATGTCTTATATTATATACCCAATGCTGCATCACTGTCTTTGGAATTTTCATGCTCATGTGAATTCCTCATGCACATGTATTAAAATTTTGACTTTTTCCTGTAAAAAAAAAAGTTATTCTTTGTGCCTCACAGGGCTCAAGTTTGTTTTGGAGACAGTACATTAGATGAGCAGTAAGAAGATTTGGGTTCTAGCTTTCATCCTATTACTTAGCAGGCTTGTCACCTATGGCAAATCATTTTAAGTCTCTGGGCCGTGGTTTCCCCATTTATACCGTTTTGTTTTGTTTTTTTAAAGATTTTATTGGGAATTGGGGAAGGGGAACAGTGTTGGGGAATTGGGGAAGGGGACCAGCCAAGTTGTCCTTCAATCTTAGTTGTGGAGGGCGCAGCTAGCTCAGCTCCAAGTCCAGTCGCAATCCGGCCGCCCGTCGGCAGCTCGTGACCGCTCAGCTCAATCTTAGTTGCAGGTAGGCATAGCCCACCCTCCCATGCGGGAGTCGAACTGGAAACCTTGTTGCTAAGAGCGTGTGCTCTAACCACTGAGACATCTGGCCGCCCATCCACAGCTCAAAGCAGCTCAGCTCAATGTGCCATGTTCTATCTTAATTGCAGGTGGGCATAGCCCACCCTCCCATGGCGTGTGCTCTAACCACTGAGACATCTGGCCGCCCATCCGCAGCTCAAAGCAGCTCAGCTCAATGTGCCATGTTCTATCTTAATTGCAGGTGGGCATAGCCCACCATCCCATGCGCCAGTCGAACTGGCAACCTTGTTGTTAGGAGCACGTACTCTCACCAGCTGAGCCATCCTGCCACCTGTTGGCAGCTCAGTGGCAGCTCAGCTCTGGCGCAGCTCACTGGCCCATGTGAAAAACGAACTGGGGACCCTGTTGCTCAGAGCTCGNACAAAACAAAGCAAATTTCGAATTAGAATCATGAACCAAATGCTCAATGAAAAAATATCCAGAGCAGTAGCAATAACGAGATACTATATCTTGAGTGCCTTTTGTGTGCCAGACACCGTGCGGGTGCTTTATTTATGATTTCCAATCCTCAAAATAGCCCTGCAAGGCACACAGAATAGCATTTTGTTTACAGGTAAAAATTGACTGTCAGTTATAAAAAGATCTATGTAGTCATCAAAATGAACCCTGATACTCAGCAATTTTAAGATCAAACTGAAACCCAAGGGAAATATCCTTGTCTTTCTTATTCCCTGCTTTTCCTGTTCAATTTTTACTTGTTATTTTTGATAACAGTTTGAAAAAACTAAGGAACAAGAATAATGGCTATTATGGCAATTCATCTCTAGGATTTAGAGGCAAATACATTCTTCTATATAGCTTATGAAGAATTATTTCTCACTATCAATGACAGGTCTTCCAAGTTCCTCATTTTCATTATACACATAAACATTGCCTTCTCTTCAATTTCATAAACTGGCCAATTTATACATTCCACATGAAATGTAATTATTTTAGAATTTTTTAAACATAGATTAGCTTCATAAAAGTTATGTAATCTCTAAGCAGCTAATAGAATCTTTTATACCACAGGTATTATTTTTCCTTATTTGGTACAAATCTGCTTATATTCATACATTAGGCAAATATGCAGACACATAAATTTCAAATGTATAAATATTCTAAAAACATTTCTAATGATTTTCATTTCTAATCAGCAAAGATGGGAAATCAGAACATGGTATTTAAAAATATTTCTGAGTATTTCAGGATAAAATTGTTAGAGATAAATTTGGAAAGAAATCCAGTAAGCAGAATCTTTCTGATTGTGTAGTGATTTGCATTCATATTAAGCTTTTAACTAAACCTAACTTTACCTGCTTATAATGAAGATAGAGGGAAGTCCAAATAATGTACTATACCTCTCCTTCTAGTATTTGGGTGGCCACATCTTTGCCAGTTTTGGCAGGAATAAAGAGTGGTGTTGGTGGTCTGTCCAAAAATGCGTCTGTTTGGCATTCCATATCAACTTCTATTATGCGATCAGCAATTTCTTCAAGGTATAATTCTAAGAGAATACCATATACATTGAGTTTGAAATTCTGGTCTGTTTCAAGCATATATGTGTATCTGAAACTTCAGCTCCTTCAAAATAGAATTAAATCGATCAGAAAATAAGTCTTGGGCAGAAAGTGCTCAAATATGGGGTTCAATTCACATATTGTACTAAGCATTTTTATATATTCGGAAGACCATAGAGTCAGTCAGGCTAGGATATTTACTGAATGTCAAGAAAGCACTGAGCTTTGTATTTGAAAATGAAACTAAAGAAGAACATAAAACCATCGATGTATATAAGATGCAAAGTATAGGAGGGAATGAAGGTTAATAATCCATCTATATAATTGAGTCCGAACATAGTAAATGTATAAACATTTGAAAATTCCTGGATATCTAAAAAAATTATGTACTACGTCACCATGTTAATTGATGCTCTCTCTAACCTAAATACGGATATATAAAAACAAATTTCACTTTAGGAAATATATGAGGCCAGGGTAGTGTGGTATCATGCAAAGAACATGACAACTGCAGTCAGATGCGGAACATAGGACCTAGGCAAATTACATCCTCTTTGGTCCTCAGTTTCTTTGTCTGTAAAAGGGACCATAATTATCTGTCACATGGAGTCTTCAAAATAATAAAGGAGATACATAGGTCAAGGACCTGGCATAGTCTCTGAGATACAGGAAATACTCAAAAGTAGCTGCTATTGTATCACTTAATATTCTGATGATAGAAATAAATGTTAAAATTTAGCTCTCACAGAATTAAAACCATATAGGCTAATCACAGACACACTCATTCCAGACTTGGCCTCAAGGCGGGGAAAGAAGCGTGGGCTGCTTCTCTTCTTTTCGCTCTTACTACCCAGAATAACTGATGAATTCACTCACCATCTTGGCAGGGCGCAAGGTGAATGCTGAGTAGTTACATCAGTCCAAGGAAAACAGCAGGTACTGCCTGATTATCAAGATTCTGTCAACAACACAGCTAGACCCTATAGGTCCCGGGAAGCCTCGCTAGCTGAGAACAGTTAGACAAGTGGGGAAAGACTGGCGCTGCCCGAGGAGAGCCCGAGTGGCCCCAGGGAATGTGCAAAGGGAAAGGAGAACAGAGGAGAGAACAGAGGAGGCCATAGTGAGCAAGGATGAGGACTCAGATCTGAACGGGTTTCCTCTTCTCAAAAGACAAATGAAATGCTAAAATAGAAACTACATCGCTCTCTTCTCCTGAAGTCCAACAGTGATTTATGTTGGGCTATAAAAATAACTGAGAAAGAATCCCACTTTGAGAATAATTATGTGAAAAGGGCTAAGAGAGGCTCTGGTCATAAAATTCTTTTTTTAAGAAAACCCATCTCACACTTCCAGGTGAACCCAATAGAATAATAATACATAGTTTGAATTTTCTTAATGAATGGACTTCTCCTACCAAGTTACAGGAGAAGTACTGGATAGCATACAGATACATAAATAATATAAAGGTCAAATAAAAAAGGACTTAGAAACCTGAGCGCGCCCAGGAGCCACGATGCCAATGGGACGGTCACACACCTGTCTGCACATCCACATGCTTTCTGCCTTCCACAGGTTCTGGCGTTTGTGCTCTGAGCTGCTCTTGGGTTCGTCTTCTGGCAAGAGCCCTCCTCTTAGACTGCTGATGTCTCTGAATCTCTATGCTCCCAGGCTGTCCAGGCAAAGGGGGACAGGAAAGGCATCTAAAGTTTAGAAGACATTTCTCAAAGCATCTAGAGCTGCCACTCCAAAAGTGATTCCTGGAGCGTGTGAAAACTCCTGTCACCTGTGGCTTCCTGATTATCAGTGACCCAGTGATTAAAATTTTGAGCTAATGCCAGATAATTATAAAGGTGTCTGACAACGCGTAAAAGTAACTTGAAAGTATGACTGTTAACTGGAATAAATGGGTACAGAATCTTATCTAATGAACTGCTTTTCCTCATTCAAGTATTTTTACCATGAATGCCTCTCGTGCCTGGTAACCCAGTATAATAATATAACCATTCAGTCATAATCAATTTTAATATGTAGTTAAGAAATTGAAAAGCACTAAGATATTTTTTTAAATCTGAATTTCACCTGGACAGAAATTCCTTAAAAAATGTTTTAGCTCACAAAGAAAACACCTTTATTCCAAACAAAGCCCGTCCAAGTGCATGAAACAATAGTTAAAGGATTAAAAATATAATTATTCACAGTAGTTCAGCACTATTTGGAGGTCCTTGATTTTGTATCTGTATCTCATTTTGAAAACATTCTCTAGTAAATCTGTCTTATCTCAAGGCAAATATGAAAACAGTGGGAAAATATGAGGGTACTTTAATATTTAAAATTAGAATTCTAAGAACATTTTACCTGAAATGACAATGTAATAACATTAAAGTTAAAAAAAAAACACCTCTATAATCACATATCCCTACTACAATGGCTGTTGTCATTTAAATGGGTAGTTTTTTAAGTTGTGATGAAACCATGCTTTTATACTATTTTCCTAATGTAACACTATCTATCACAAACTTTCCCCATATTTGCATTATATGAGGTCTGACAATTCAGTTCGCAAACTCATCCAAGAAAAAGTGCTACTTACCTCATTGCTGAATATCACTATGGTCACCTTCGAAGTACTCCCCTTGGGAAGCTGTGCACCAATGCCAGCGCCTAGTCCTCCCTTCAAAGCAATTTTGGAACTCTTTTTCTGGAATGGCCATCAGAGCTGTCGTCATATTACCCTTGATGTCCTGAATGTCATAAAAATGTCTTCCTTTCAATATTNGAAAATGGCAGTCCTTACTCTTCGTTTGGCCAGACTAGCTGTGGAGAGGTGGCTCTGAGGGGACGCTGACAGACAGCTAACAGGTATGGGTTCTGTGAAGGCAGGGCCCAGGTCTCCTGTTTTATCTTCAAGACCTAACACAGCCCCTGGATCACTAAGCTTAACTACAAACAACATTAATAGCTGACCCCAAAGGATTTTTGATTAGAATAGGAAATCAGCTGAGAAAAGTAACAACTGACACATGATAGTGCTGTACAGCTTACAAAAGTTCCATATATATTATGACATTAACTCCTAAATAATCCTCATTTCACACGTAAAGAAAGTGAAGGTCATAACGCTAGTTCATTATGAAACTGGGACCCAAACTCAAAGTTTTTACATGAAGTCCCTATTTCTTTCTACTATCCAGTGTTGCTTCTCAATAAAGACAAACTAACATCCTAAAATCAAGATCTTTATAATACTTATTAGTAATAGCATTTACTTAAAACAACTATAATTGGCTTTTTAATTTGTTTCAGAGATAGATTCCAATTCAAAATAAAAAAGGGCATGAGATAAATTTGAACTGTTAAGAGGATGCTTATTGTAACAGACTTAATCTAATGAAAACCTCCACAAACCTCTTTCAACGGGATCAAAAAAGTAGCCACCATCCCTGAGGCTGCCAAAAACAGAAGGGAGCAGGTCGGCCAAGTACCACTGCGCGAACGCTCGGGCAGCGATTTTCTGTGCGGTCTCGTTCTGCTTGTGCATCACGTCCCACTGCTGCTGCTTCCGGCGTGCCTGCCCAGAGAAAAACACCCTCACGGATGGTTACTGAGCTATTACGTCCTCCCTAAAGACTAAGCTAGTGAGTGGGAGAATTTCCACTTATATTTGTATCAAAAAATGGACAGCAAGGTGTCTATTAAAGGTTCATGTTTTTCATCAAGATTTTAATGAATTCCAACAGGTAGTCAGTGTTGAACTCAGAAAAGAGCTGGAGCTTAAGGTAAAATGTGTCTCCTGATCCACTTTCAAGTAAAACAATTTCAAGGTATACATGTTTGTATGGATGATATCAAAGGATTATACTAGTGATATGTACTTTTACTTAGTAGTATCATAAAGTATTGCTGATATGAAAATTATAGTTGCTTAGACATCTTCAGTAAAGAACTTGGGTCAGTAAATTGTCTCATTTGTAATAATTCTTTAAATTCATAATGTTCTGAAAATTATAAAACCTCTTTTTTTGTTGGTGCTTCTTATAGACCAGATGTATCTATAAAGCTAATGAACCGTCTTCTCTACTCCCATGTAGAAGTGGGAGCATTATACATTTTCTAATTAAGTCTATTTTCAAAGTTTAAGCAAATATAAATCTAGATGATTTATATTCTTCATTTTTTTCATAATATATTTCCTAAAAGTAAATAAACTAACAAATAAGTATTCTTTCATAAAGATTTCACAGATTAGCTCAACAAAGCTAATTTTGTTGGTGTTCATTTTATATTTGTAAACACATAGTCTTGCATTTGTACCATCTTTACCATAAGCCTTATGCTCTTTACACAATTATTCATTTTGGAGGAAAAGTCCATTTGAGTAGGTATTGAACAGAATGTCCCAACAACTAAGCCTTTCTGTGTAGTAAATTGGACTCTGGGAAATTATTTAAATTCTTTTTAGGTACTCTGGCACTCCTTTATAATTTACTGTTTCAGTGTACAAGACCGGGTGACAGTTATTGCCAGACTTAGAAAGACCCTTAAAGACTACTGAGCCTAGTGTTGCCTAATTGGAGGTTATTGGCACATTTTAAAAACTGGATTCTAAAACTTTTCTTATTAAAGGTTCCAAAAACCTATAATCTAAAAAATATTCTATAGGGACCCAAGTGGTTCTGGTGTATCCCTAAGGGTATAGAGAAGGACCCGGCCACTGAGAAAAGCCCTAAAGTTCTAGCCAGACCCTCTCCTGCTTATCCCTCGCCTCTCTCGGATGTATTCCACTTTTTCCTTCCACCTTTTCTGCTACTGACTCACGGCAAATGGATGCATTTTTTTCAGTAGGACTCTTGGCATTTAAGAGTGCTTTTCAGTTGGGATATACGTAATTTAAATGACTCCATTTAGGAACTTTTGGGAATTCTTAAGAACATTTACATGTGCTAGAATTTAAAAGATGTAATTTGTTTCATGAAAGATCTATGATCTATAGAACAGGAGAGACCTGAACAACAAATACTATAGGTCTTTTGTAACGTCTTTCCAAANAGCTGTGGAGGGCAGTGTCACTGGCCCTCATATGTGGGATCCGAACCGGGGCCCTCTGGCGTCCCAAGCCAGTTCTTAACCATTGCGCCACTCGGAAGGCCCAAAATATATGTGATTTTTAATAGTGTGGGTAAATTCTCCAAACAAGTTCAGATTAAAAAGTCAAATGTGAATTCCCTATACTACAATGTAGTCACAATATGTAATATCTTACCACATTTTTAAAAAGAGATTTATATGTACAAAAATTGAAAGGTCTATGATATACTGTTAAGTGAAAAATGCAAACAATACATTTATATTTATATAAAGACAAGTCAATCCATGTATTTCTAGGTTTTCAAATATATATGTATAAAAATATCTTCCAAAGGGCATAAAAGGTACTCCCCTAATTAATAACAGCGGTTATCTTTGAGGAAGGGAGTAGACTTGCATAGGGTAAGTAGGGATTTTAGCTTTATTGGCATTGCCTGAAATTTTTTAATAGCAGGAATGTGAAAAAATAGATGAGAGCATATTACTAAATCACAGAATTCCTTGTCCCTTATTTGATTATTGGAGATGGAAAGGGTAACTATCTGTTTAATTTTATACAAATAAAGGTGTATTCTTCTTGGCCCTTAAAGGAGGATGCACTACAGCTTCAGTAACACAACGTTTAGGTATTCTTTCATAGAGTAAGTTACAGTTTTCCTACAGAGAAGAAAAGCTCAGTGGCTGATAGCACTGATAAAAAAACAGAAACAAAAACAAACAAACAAACAAACAATAAAAGCTAACCCACAAATTAGAAAGATTAAGGAAAAATACATTTGTTAGTTGTATATAGTGATAATAGGAAGCTTGTAATTAAGCATAATTCTCATTAGATTACAATATAGCTTCTATTGGGTTGTTGGAAAAGTCATGACACATTTTTGCAATGAAAAACAGAAAAAAACACGTCATGACTTTTCTTTCTTTCTCTTTTTTCTTTTATTAGTTTCAGGTGTACAGAACCATGCACTAGTTATCCTTTATACCCTCACAAAGTAACAACCGCCACCCCCATCAACTGCCCTCCCACTGTCATGACTTTTCTGACAACCCAATAGATATTCTATTAAATACACAAAGTACTTAAGTTTCACTTTTTATTGGTTTTATTATTTCAACGTATTTGCTTTACCCAGTAC